CAGAATCTCTTACCATGAGTAAATCTCTGTATTATTTAAGTGTAGCGATTAGTTGTTCTTCCCAGGAGAATTAAGAGATGGGAAGGGTAGATAGGTATTTTAAGTTATTGAAAATGTGTTCTAAATCTTTAACAAAGATTGAACTATTTTTCATAGTTTATTTAGTTTAAAATGTGGTATGTTATTGATGTATTTTGTTTCTAAATGTTTTCTATGGTTTGAAAACTGTCTTTTATGAGATTCAGAAAATTCGTCTGACCACATATTTTGACCTAAGAAATTTATATCAGTATTGAATTTGGTTAGCATTCCAATATATGAAAGTTATTATTTTAAAATAAAGCAAGCTGTTGAGTTTTTCTTTTGACTACACTATCATCTATTTGTACGTTTACCTCCCTTCTCTTTCCTTCCCTCATCCCCTCTGTAGGTATTAGGATAACTTCTAATGCATTTGTAATCAGCACTACTTTCCTTAATGAGCTGTGCCGTCTCTCATTCACTTTTCCTCTTAGACTGGAGGCCTGACGGAAAACAACATACAGCTAAGGAAGGAATTCTTCAAGTAGATGAACTTTGTATCTGATGGTGTTGTAGTGACAGTTTCACAGAGATAGAAATGTGAGTCAGAGCACTGGACTTGAAGCCACCACAACTGTGGACAAGTGAATTTATTCTTAAGCCATTGAGACCCTTGTCTCAAAAATGAAGTTTATACTTTTAGTAGTATAAATCATTCTGAGCTCCTCTCTTGAGTTTGTTCCTTGGTTCTTCTTGGACACTCCCAGGGAATCCTGTAAGTGGGCCAGCACTTCACTGGTCTTAGTGGTACCTTAACAACAAATAGAAAAACAAAAATACCATAGCAAAGTAAGGACCCAGCATCTTGTACTTTTCCGGAGGAAGCCGTCAGTATTTCACTCCAGGACTAAGGATGTTCTTCTAGCTACAAGTTCTCAAACTCTGTCTTAGTAGATTCTCTAGCCTCTTGCAGCAGTAAACAGCCCGTCCTGCTTAGAGCAGAACGTGGGTGCTTTAATGTTTTCAGGGCAAAGGCTAGAGAGCACTTTCTATTTCAAACCAAGTGGTTATGGTAGGGGCGCCCTGGTTACTTCATGGTGAAAAGCCTTAATTTAAGGACAAAGGCCACTTCTCACAAGGTTTTACCTAAGGTGTAACGTGTCTGTCTTTGTTGCCCAGTGGCCAGCCTGTCTATTGACCAGATGTTTTTTATGAAAGAGTAAAAGGTGATGTCCAAGGGGATTTTATATCAGAAACCAGTATCTTAAGAGGAAAAAGGCATCACGTACAGTTAGTCTTTCCGGAATACTGAAGTTGACGACAGAGCACACAGGTATGTGTGTAACAGAATTAGGGTCACGTTAACCAGATGGATGGTTCATGTCTTCTGTCCTCCCTGATACACAGAACACGGGCAACTGACTAAGCCAGCCATTATATTCAGACTTCTTCCAGAAATCTGAATGGAAACCGTGAGGATATGTGGCACTTAACATCTTCAGGGTGTCCGGAGGAGGGGGGTTAGCAGCCATTCGCTTAGCACTTACTATCCATTTGGCTTTATGAAGTAAATATTTTAGAGGCCAGGAAACCACTCAAAAGATTAGGTACCTCTTGAAAGACTTAAATCTAGGTCTGCCATGCTGTGGACACCACTCCTAAAAACCACACTACATAAACTTGCTTCCTAAGGAGAAACTGAGGCAGAGGGAAGAAACAGGAACCAACAGCAAGGGGAAGCTCCCAGGACAGCCGAATTCCATTCCATGTCTCCTGAAGATCAGCTTTATAAAGTGGTCTCCACTTTATAAACACACAAATCTGTCTAGAGCCCCAGTTACCTGAACTGATGTGTCCACTATAATAGAAAAACTTAGCCCCTTCTCAGATGGAAAATCCAGTTTCTGTTAATGTTCACTTTAACATGAACAGAGGGAGAGCCTTCTGCATGGAGACGAGCGCTGCAACTGGGCTGTGTCCCAACACCTAGGAACTTGGAGGAGTTCATAAATGCAAGGCTGACTAGAGAACGGGGATGGAGACCTCACGATAGGATCAGTGTTCTTCTCAAAGTAAGAAAATTAGCCCGTTCTTCCAATGGCCACGTGATGATTAACTACGTTAGCGAGTCGGGTGGGAAAGAAGTCCCTCCTGGACCAGCCATCCTGGCTCCTGATCATACTTGTTTCCAGTCGTGAGCTGTCTTGTGCTTCCGCACCTGAAGAAAACCAACAGGCAGACTTCGATGTTTCCTTAAAACTTTATAATTTTTATAAATTTTAGATAAGATAAAAAACTGTGATACATTAATTACAGTTTTCTGAAATTTTTATGACATGTTCAAACAGTGAAAAAATATTTCAAATTTATTACACACACAGACACGCACACACACACGAGCGGAAGACAGGGCTTAAAGACAGGATGGAATATTACCAGAGACGACCGAATCAACTAAGACCCGTAAATGACTAAGTCTGCAGGTTTCAGTTCTAAGTTCAGAGCCAACAAGAAGCTGAATATTGAAAATACTGGCATTTCTCTTTCCTCATTCATCCTACCAGATCCTAAAGATGGAGCCCAGGGTAACTTACAAAGCTTAGGCATCAAAGTTTAAAATGTAATTGATAAAGTCAGTATTTTACTCATTTTGAATACTTAAAACTGTATTCTTCAATCAAATTTGAATGGCGAGTGATTTCGGTATTTAGAGATCCGAACGCTGCTAGTTTGATCCTCACGCCCGACTCTCAAGCAAGACTCCAGTGTCCCCTTCATGCACAGCTCTGGAAGCCATCGCATTGAGACCCTGGCTTGTGACTTTTGATGCTTTCAAACCGCTAACACCCAGCACCATGTTCTACACACAACAGGAACCAGGCATCACCTACTACACAACTTCAGCACTACCAAACCGCTCCAGCTAAGGGTACATTACACAGTACTGTTTACCGAAGCCCAGTTCACATACACCCTGCGCCATGCAGCCCATGTGGGGTCCTCCCAATGCCACGCAGGTTCTTTAGGCATGGCTGCAGACCAGATCTCCAGTGCAGCTTACGTTGCAAATACACACTGGAGATGGGCTAACTAGTTTTTGCACGTTCCTTTTAAAGCAGTATGATTTTTAGGTCTTAAGTAGGAAACAAACATCAAAAAGCATTATGGAAAAAGACCATTTCTGAACCATAAAGGAATCACTAGCACCTCTAACCTATACCTCAGGTATAGGGGATTTTTTTCTAGGTTCACAAAGGACAAAAATAGAGAATTTTGATTTTTTTTTTAAAAAAAATACAAAGAGCCTTGTTACAAACCATTACGTTTAAAGTACAAATATTAATGAGGAACCAGATTTGTGGTTTGGGTAGGACTTGTTAAAATTTTCTCACCTACCCCCTCTTCAGCACTGGGCCCAGACTCCCAAATGGCTGCTACATCCTCAAAAATTCTTTGAAGTATCCAATTTCTCTTGAAATGTCATGAATTTTGCACTATGTATTTGCTTATTTATTTATTTAAAAAAATGTGATTCGAATGTCAAAGAAGCAGGAGGGTGGCAGGTAATTCCCACACAGCTCTAAGAAGATCCGGGAGCATCACCTAGTTTCCCTTTGAGAAGCTGGAGAGAGGAAAGCTACACCTTGTCAAAGACCAGCATAATCAGGGCGGAAGTCAACAGCCACCCCAGGCAGTGCCACTGCCCGAGCAAGCTCAGCAGAGAAAGGGCTGAAGGAAGTAACAGGTCTACCAGAGTTACCAGTCAAACTACCGTGTAGAAACAACTGTGGCAGAGCCCCTAGAGCATCCGAGGGGAGAGGGTACCCCAGTCCACAGCTATGGATATCAGGATATCAGCAGGTATCCCCACAGGGAGATGGGTGCATGAGGAAACGCGTCCCTTGCTCAGAATCCTTGCTCACTGAGTAAACCAGCTGCTCCTAATTTGGCTTCCCAAGGAGATTTGCCTAAAGGGAGAGAATGATTGGTAGTTACATTTCTCATTGCGAAATAAAGTACCAAGACTGTTATTTACAATATCAGCTGTTGTGAACTTAAGGGGGGTTTCTCGTGAGTGTACAGGAATTTCGTCAGACCCTGGACAGCCAAATAGCCATCACGCTGCTGCCACTGAATGAGTGGCCAGTGGCTTTCTTCAGGAAAGAACTTATCCGGTACCTACACTGACTAACAGAGCCAAATGTGGGCATGGACCACTTGAAATGAGGCTTGTCTAAGTTGAGATGTGTTTAAAACATAAACTGAATTTCAAACAACACCCACTTCAAAAAATAAAAAGGTAAAGAAAGTATCTTTAAAAATTATCATATGCTTAAATAAAATATTTTGAATATAAGACTACTGAAGTTCCATCTCTGTGTAGACAACAGGGAAGTCACTCAAGTGGGTTCTGTAAAGCTTACACTTTCTTCTAGAGAGTAAGGACAGAAATGTCCGGCCTTAAAATCTGTCCTAGTGAACTAGGCCTGGGGAGGTCAAAAGACCACTCTTTTAACTGGCAGGGGGAATGGTGTCACACACCTTAAATCCCAGGAGACAGAAGTGGGGAGATCCGTGTGAGTTTGAGGCCAGGTGTCTACATTGTTAACAGGCCATCTGAGACTAGGGAGACCCTGTGTCAAAAAGAAGAGTCAATGCTGCTTTAGAAAGGCCGATAAATACAACTGGTACCTTTTGCCCTTTCCAGTGAGTGATTTCTTAGGCAGCTCCCAACGGTGGGAACAAAATGCTATGAAGTCAAGCACCATCCATACTAGGCAAGACTGATGAAACTGAACCAGGCCTTGCCACACTTGGAGGGTGCCGAGAGTATCAGAAGCCAGAGGACGGTGTCTGCACACAGCTGAGACTGCAAAACACTCATGAGTGAATGGACGAGCCACCAGCTGACTGGCCACCTAGTTAGTAAATCAGCGCATGGTTTCCAAAGGATTGAGAGGTGAGGTAAAATGCAAAGATAAAAAGGAGAAAAGACCAATTTTTATTCATCAAAAGTTAACAGCAACAGGCACATGTTTAAATGAGTATGGCAAAGCCTTTTACAAATGGCTTTACACTCAAGCTTCCTCCCAAGATGGCTGTTGCAACTGTAAACATAATAAAGTCTTTACAGTAACAGGGAAATACAAATTAACTAAAGAAAGCACCGTTTCTCTTAAACTAGATTACAGTTGTGCTTGCTGTACATAAAATCATTGAAAACAAATTACAAAAGTGGAATGTTTTGTCTAAAATTAGTCCTTAAATTTTATCCTAGAAAACATGTATTCACATCAAAAGGCCCACCAAAGCGTAACGTTTCATCAGAGGGAGGGACAAGAAACAATGCACTTTTCAAATCAAAACGAGAAGTTTGGTCACTTAGCTTTGTGCATAGTTGAAGGCACCTGGAGCAATCTTACAGCTTCGCCTACTTCCCTCCCCAAGTGTGGCTGCTCACTAGGTCACATTCTCGAACAATAAATAAAAACTTACATTTCCAATCCTTTCCCACACGGATGGACAGAACATGCACAGCCAGACATGCACAAACATGCACGTATACACACACACGCAGTCACACAACATACCTCTCACGCACTGCAGCGAAAGGGACTGTAGTTCCCTTGGTCTGAAGGACACACTTCCCCATCCCACTTTATTTCAGATCGGCAAATACCCTGAGCTGATTATGGTGTGTTAGACATTCCACCTTTTCCTTGCATGTGCAGGTCACGTGTACAGTAGTGAAAACAACATGCAGTGTCTTCAGAGTCAGGACACAGCTGGGTCCTGGTGTTCCGGCCCTCCCGCCCCAGAGGAAAAACTAAAGTTAAAAATCTGCATTGCCAAACAGCACTGGAGTGAAGTGCCTGGTGCTCTGTGACCAACGCTCCCTCTCCAGCGCAAAAGACAAAACAGTGAAGGAACGGGAGGCTCTGAGGGCTTCCAAAGAAGAAAAGGGCAAACCACCTGAGAGCTGCAGTCTCCAGCTGGAGCTGTGAATGTCTCAGTGGTTCCTTCACAATCATGCTCCAAGGCAATTTAGAACCAGTATTTCAGAGTTGGTTTGTAAACATTGAGTCTTGCCAGAGGCAGCAGAGGCTGGGCGCTTCACATTTCTGTTTTCTCAGAGAGAACATAGTGGAAGGGGCAGATGCTCTGTGGAAGCGGGCAGGTCAGATCGAGATTCTGCTGAGATTCAGTTCAAGTTTCGGGGCTTGAAGGATACACGCCTTGGGAACGTGTAGCAAATCTTCCTTTCTGGTTCACCTGCTGAGCTTTGTATATTCAAGGTTTCACACAAAAGCCAGATGCATATTGCTGTGTATTCGGGTCTTATTAAAAAGTGGGCCCAAATGATCCAACAGAAGAAACCTCAATAATAAATAATGCTGGCATCATTTCCTTGGAAACCATTTTTCACCTCAAGACCCCTTTCACATTTCCACAATCTTGCAGGAGGGAGCTTGTCCCACTGGTTCAGGGTTAGGATAACCGATTTTCCTGAGTTAATAACTGTGAGTTCAACTGAAAGGCAGCATTCGCATCCTCGCTGCCGGGCTGTTGTCTCTGCAGTCCCTTCCAGCTGGCTTTATTCAGCCCCACGTGTCCGAGCATTGTCTGTGACAGCCTTGTATCCGAAAACCTGGCCCACTCTGTAAATAACGGCTCCACCAGGTAGGTCATAAACCCTTCAGAAACAGAGGGGAAAAGCCATTAGGAGATGTCTTGAATTGATTTTCAAAACATCTAGAGTTTTAATGTTCTTCAAGCACACTCTAGTATTACCAGGGTCTGGGTGTGAGCACATGTCATTTACCAATCTGGATTTCCTAAGTAACTCGGTGGTGCTCTAACCAGAGGTGAGCTGGCCAACCTCATCTGGCCTTTGCGACCTCTCAGCCGAACAAACACATCCTACCTAAGCTGAGGTATGTGGTGGCCGTATGTGGTGGTCATGTCAGCGCTAAGGGCACCAGTACAGAACACAACTCGGGATATTGGCCATGAGACAAGTGCAAGCCAAGAGGTGGCAGCATCACTTCCTCAGAGATGGAATATTACATCTGGCATGGATTAGTATTTACAGTGTCAACTCCTGAGAAGAAGCGGTCAGTCTAAAAATCCTGAAACTAGTTTTTTGTTTTGTTTTGTCTTTTGTTTTTTAATGATTAGAGTGAGAATGCGGGCGTCAGAGGGCAGCTTGCAGGAGCTGGTTCTCTTCTAACACTGGGTTTGAGTCACACAGCCCACTATATAGCTAAGATGACCTTCAACTTCTGACCCTTCCTTCTTCATTCTGAAAATGGTGAGATTATAAAATCACAATTCATGTTTTATTCATGTGTGTGTGCTGTGTTTTTCATATGTGTTTGAGTGCTCTTAGAGGCAGAGGCCAGAAGAGGGAGTTATGTATGAGCCACCTGATGTGGCTGCTTGGAACACAGCCCAGAAGAGCAGCCTGAGCCATGAAGTCCTTCCGTTAAACCAGAGAGGAATTTCCTCAGGCAAAAGGACCTTCAGGGAGCTACCTGGACTACCCATCCACCTAGCCTGCAATTCCCTTTCCCTGTATTTCATCTGTTCTTTGAACTTGAGAATCCTTGAAAATCAAGATGGCAGATCTATTAATTGTCTCATTAGCTCCACTAAGAGAAAAACATCTATCAGCCTTAGCCCCACAGGCTCAGCACCATGCACTCCTGCAAGCTGGGCCTGTTTTCTGCATCTCTAACTTTATGTCGGCAGCTTCTCCGCCCTACAAGAAGATGCTTTGTACTCACGGCGCAGGTACCGCAGCTCCGCCGCTGCTGCAGCCTTCCGCTGCACGCTGCCTGTGCTCGTCCTGATGTTCATCAACACACGTCACTGTCTTCAGTCTCCCAACCCCAGCTCTTGAGTGTCCTCCCACCAGCTCTCTGACCTTCACAGCCCCACACAATACACTCAGCCTCAGGCCGCCCTTCCCAGGGTCTGCAATGCCAATCTTTCCAGTACACAGTTCCCTCCACCATTAATTCTAAAGTGCCTCCCACCTCTAGGTCTGGTGGCTGTGGGACAACAGAGTCAAGAGCAAAGATTGCATGTGTGACACATGTGCACACTCTGGGAGCCTGACTGAGGGGACTGGCTGCCTGGAGACAGCGAGATGGCTTTGGAGGAAGTGACAGTTGAGGCCGACAGGAGGGGCTGGCGGAGCAGAGAGAGGGAATGTTGGGGAATATTATTTAAGGTGTGTTACTTTTGTTTATGTTGTTTAACTCTGTGAAGCTGTGTGATGGTGCCTGTCTGAAACACCTGATGGTCCTAATAAGGAACTGAACGGCCAATAGTGAGGCAGGAGCAAGAATAGGCAGGGAGGATAAATATGAGGAGAACTCGGGGAGAGAAAGATCTGGGAACGAGAAAGGAAGGAGGGGAACTTCAGGGGCCAGCCACCTAGTTACGCAGCCAGACACGAAATAAGAAGGAAAAAAAGGTATACAGGAATAGAGAAAGAAAAGTCCTGAGGTCAAAGATAGATGAGATAATTTAAGAAAAGCTGGCAAGAAACAAGCCAAGCCTCCATGGTATTTATTTCCTCCTCAACCAAAAGAGGAAAGAGTAAAATTGTCAACAAGGGACAATGGTTAAGATTTCCTCAAATGGTTAAGAATCCTTTGTATTGAAAAATTTTCTAGTCTAGTCTTAACAAAATCAAAATAAATGGATTTTTTTAAAAAACGAGTTGCAACAAGTTATGCATAGTTACCAATCTGGATGTCGGCAACAGACTCAGTCTGACGGTCGCAAAGCGGACTCACACCCAAATGGTGCTTCTTTTCTATATCTCCTATAAATGAAAAAAGAGAGAGCCATGTCAGGATGGAGCAGCTGTGCTGTATAACTCTATTAGGAGTACCTTCACTGTCTGAATTTCCTGGAGAACACCACACAGTCCTCACGAGGGGAGTGAACAGTTAGTGACACGCACAAAGCTTGCCAAGCTGATGTCACCATTTCAGTGGACCAAATGAAGTATTTCCCGTAGGTGTTCCCCCACGACTAATTCTGTCAGTATTTTCAAACATGCCTCGCATGCCCACATGGTCCTGCGCTCCACAAAGGTGAAGGGATGGGGTAACCGCAGGGTCAGATTTCCCGCCTACTTTCTGTACAGTCATGAGTACACAGCGTCACTTAGTTCCCAAATATGCTCCGTGTGTTACTGGCTATGCACACATCAACCACGAATAGTGTTAACAACATAAAGCATCTACAGTGCGGCTCTTACAGATGGCTGGGTTCTGCTTTGCCCCACACAGCACTGTAACCTGCCTTGGTGGAAGAATTCCTCCGTCACTTTTTCACTCCACTGCTTGCTTAGCTCCCAGTTCCGACAGGGGTTACAGATGTCAGCGCATTTCAAGGCCATCTAGCAAACAAAACAGTAAAGCCGTGTTAAGGTACAAGACTTGAGCCGCACCAAGCTTCAATATATTCTACCCCAACAGTGGGAAGAACGCCAAAGAGAGAGAGCACCGGGGCTTGTAGCTCAGGGTAGGGCATGCGCTTAGTGTGCTCGGGGTCAAGAACCAAATAAAAACGGAAGTCAGCCAACAGGAAAGTCCTGTGAAGGACAACTCATCCTGTCATATTAACTTCACGCTGCCAGCCATCTACCAATTATCTGTGCAGACTGCTGGTCAGGATGCTGAACTGGAACTACCCTTGGCAGTCCCAAGGAGGCACAATGACTGGATCAAAGTATCGACAAACCCAGAGAGACCATCTACTGCCTCCCCCTTGCATGTGAGAATTCATCAGAATAAACAGCCACTGTTGACTGGTGCCCTTCTTCACTCTTCCTTGGAAACCTCGGATATGAAAAGTACCAAAGCATGTCCTTCTGGAAGGGAGCTTGCTAACTGAGGAGCTTCTCTTTCCTTACAACCCACCCTGAGAAAACAGGCTGCTACAATGTATCATTTTTGCTCTACCAGTCCCTCCCATGATTTACCCTGGAAACAGAATCTTTGCAGCTCGGACTTTACCTGTAGAACCAAATGCCTATGTCTGCCATCGTCAAGGTGTAAGTCACCTCTGTCCAGGTGAGATCTAAACAATGACAGGTACTCGTTCTGCCGGCTGATGTCTGTGGCTAGTATCAAAGCACCTATCTGGGTCTCCATCTGCTGCCTGGAGTTAGAGAAATGATAAAGGAGACAGTACTTTCTATTTATTTTCTCCCTTCAGCTTAAATATTCAGAAAGCTTTACAAAATCCTAAAATACCTGCCAGTTGCTTTAAACTTGATATATAAAAAAGTGTTGTGAAGAATGCATTAAAAACCTATTAAAATAATCAAAAGTAAAACTGAGAATTTACAGGGAACTATCACTATGCAAGGATTTCAAAGGGGTTACTTTATTCTGTCAGCCAAAGTGCAGTTATCTACTTAAAAGGGGAAACGGTCAGTGTAACACTCGAATGCTGATTGAGAAACTTCTGGAGAATTTTCTTAGAAATCCCTGTGTGTACAGCAAACGACTCTGTCTTATCTTTTGGTGCCCAGGACCTAAAAGTCAGACGATATAGAGGAAACGCTAGCACATTCAACTGTCCACTGAGACACTTTGGGAGAGCTGCTTAATAAAATCCTGATAAAATTCTACTCAGTAGTTGAATCAAGAGAGAGATGTTTAGTGATCAACACGCAAACTCTTCTTCCAGAGGACTTGGGTTGATTCCCAGCTTTTATGTATACTACCCATATAGTAACTGCAGTTTCGGGGAGTCCCTCTCTCTCCTGGCTCTCAGGCACCAGGAACACATTCACACATGCAGTGGTGAATGGATTTACATGCAGGCAAAGTTCCCATGCACAAACTCAATCATCTATATAAGTATATTCGAATTTTCTGGAGGGAAATGTAATGTGTTAAAACAGATAGATACACTGTGTCATTTTAAAAACTGCCTCATGGATACAAGAGAAAGACACTTTAAAAAAAAATTGTCCTTACAGGGTTACAGTAAGTGTATCTCTGCGTTAATAAAGAGCCCTCAGCAAGGCCAGTGAGATGGCTCAATGGGAATAGCACTTGCCTCCCAAGCTCAGTGACCTGAGTTCACCCTGGGGACCCCAGAGGAAGGAGACAAATGACCGCTGAAAGCAGTCTCAGGCCTCTGCACACGTGTGCACTAAGGCACACCTGTGCCCAAACACACATTTAGAAAATAGGTTAAAAACTAATACTGAATATTTAAAACGAAGTGACAAAAGTATAAAAGACCACACCGATAGGGTATGAGTTGTTTTTGCCACCACTATCATGTGGGACTGACTGACACTGCTGTGTTTGTTAGGCTACTAGAACGGCATGTTTAGTATTAAACTAGTTTTCTAAGCTATTCTCCGTCATTCTTTTGCCCGACAGCTCCACAGGCGGGGCTAAGACTGGACATCTGTGGCACAGGGCCTTGGACACTTATTGTTGCGTTGGGTTTGAAGGTGTTCTGAGGTCTGGAGGGTCTGGTTATTCAGTGCCTACTTCCTGTGCCATCTTTCAAGTACAGAGCTGACGCCTCTGTCAGCAAAGCATGAAAAGTAAAACCCTGGACCGCAGTGCGTGGAGGTCACAGTCCTCAAAGAGACGGAGTATCTTCTGTAAGGTAAACGGCCAGCGGAATTCCAATGACTACACAACAGGCTTGTGTAGCTTTCTTTGGACTCTGAGTGCATGAGCGTTTGGCCCACACTCGTGTATGTGCTGGGCGTGGATGTCTGAGGCACCGTGTGGCTGCTGGCGGCTGAGCAGCTCCTCTCCAAGAACAGCAAATTCTCTTAACTGCTGAGCCCTTGCTTCAGCTCCACAATTTTGACAATTTTAAAAAAGATACATTTAGTTTAACAAAAACTGAAAACTATGGAACACCTGAATAATAACATAATTCTCAATCCTTTATAAACTAGCCGAATGACCAATTTTGATCCACCTTACCTGCTCTCCAATGGCAAATGTGAGAACAAACCAGATTCTCTCAACAAGCCCACTGCCGATCTCCAGTGGTGGTTTTCCAAGACTGAGGTATTCTAGGAAAAGGGTTCTCTGTTACCCAACAGTCATTTCTGAGCATAGAAAGCATCTGTCAGCAATATTAGCTTGGTTAAAGCTTCAACAATCTTTGGAGATTGACTTCCACTACCTTCACCTCCTTCCAACACTGAACAGCATGGAATGCAAAGTATTAAAGCATTATCACTTTATTTGTGCGAGTGTTTATTTGTGGGCGGGTGAGTGTATCTGTGCTGTGAGCAGCGTGCACATATACGTGTGTGTTGAGGGCAGTGAGCAGCCTTGGATGCCGCTCCTCAGGAGCCGTCCACATTGTTTCCTGAGGCGGTCTCTTGCTGGCCTGCACCTCATCGGTTAGCTGGTCAGCTAGCGAGCTCAAGGGATCCTGTCTCTCTCCTCAGTGCTGGGTTTTAAGCCCATACCAAATCAAAACAAAACAAACAAAAAAAACCAAATTAATTCTCAATGAGACTGTACTAACCTTGTATAAAGTTGCCAAATAATGGTTGGTTTTAATAAGGAAAGGCTGATTAACACCTGGGTGATCCAGATCATGAGTGGCAGCTGCAATTAAGCTCAGCAAGATATCCCAAGGAGTTACAGAATTGGCAAGCTAAAGTGTAACAAAAGAATAATTAATCACAAACACACCTGAAATATACTCTTTCTACCACTAGGAGCCAGTAAGGGGGGGGGGGAATCTCCTCACTGCCTGTCGCTCCTTTGGGTGGACTGCTCCTTAGTGCCATCAAGAGCCTGCCAGGTAATGGCTTATGGGACAGTGCAGCCTGCGTGCTGTGATGCATGGTGTTCTGCAAGCTGTGATGCACGGTGTACTGCACGCCGTGATGCATGGTGTACTGCAGGTTGTGGTGCACAGTGTACTGCAGGCTGTGATGCATGGTGTACTGCAGGCTGTGGTGCACAGTGTACTGCAGGCTGTGATGCACGGTGTACTGCATGCCGTGATGCATGGTGTACTGCAGGTTGTGGTGCACAGTGTACTGCAGGCTGTGATGCATGGTGTACTGCAGGCTGTGATGCACAGTGTACTGTATGCTGTGGTACATGGTGTAGTGCACGCCGTGATGCATGGTGTACTGCACACTGTGATGCATGGTGTACTGCACGCTGTGATGCACGGTGTACTGCAGGCTGTAGTCCACGGTGTACTGCAGGCTGTGGTCCATGATGTACTGCCTGATGGACAGTCTATCCTGATACGGCCTCGCTTTTACCACACAACTAAAAACAGCTAAGACAGGAACACTCCTCCTCAGAAACAATGACCCTAAACTGACAAACAGGCTTGTTTATTTTCATCCTATGGAGGGATGGCCACATTCAGGACAGTGAAGTCATGCCAGAAAACAAATTTCATTGATAGAAATATAATATTACTCTTAGTAATTATCACCAAACTTAAACAACAAATAACCACAGTCAAAGTTTATTATTAGAAGTAGTCACCTTGAGTGTCACCAGCTCTCATGAGGCAGCCCTTTCTGGAAAACTTGTACTCGTTCTGTAAGGCCCAACTCCAGAACCCACATTGTCTGTGACCCATCCCCTGCCCTCTCTTTCAGCCCTGGCAAAGGGCACATCTGTGCCCACAGTCCTTTACGAGCCCTGCCACGGCTGCGCTCATCTGAACACATTTTTATCCAGACTCACTTTAGGATTATTTGTTCCTTCAGCTTCTATAACCTTGTAACCTAACAGGGAAAATTTCTGAGCAGCAATCACTGATAATGCTAGCATATGAAAGAGAGGAGACCATTACAAATATCAGTGAGATAATAAATAGATTCAGATTCAAACTGGGCTATTTCCTTCCCACGCCAGTCACACGCCACTGAGTGTGTGCATCTAGGAAGCTAGAGTGTCTGGAGATTCTGATTTACTATTGGGGTGGGGAACCCATGCCATGCCATGTGTATGAAGGCCAGAGAAAAACCTCTCAGGAGGGGATGTTTTCCTTCTGCTGTCCAGAGACTGGCCGTGACAGCAGCACTTTTACCCAGTGATCACCACAGCAGCCCTGGGAGGTTTCTAGATAGAGAATATATACGATTTCTCTTTGTATTTTACAAGTTAGTGCATGCACAAGCTCAATAAATATGGTAAAGTTAGTAACGAAAATGACTTCCTTCCCAGAAAATGCAGTGTTTAAAAATCAAACTTAAAAGCATAATATATTCATTAATTCTTTGAGAATTTTATGCCTGTATGCAATATGAGTTGATTATACTCACTCGACTCCTGCCTTTACTGCCTCCCAGATCTCACTTCCCTACAAACTTCGTGTTCTCTTAAAAAAAAAAAAATGAGTCCACCAATATCTAATTTGAGCTGCTCATATACTCATGGGCGTGGGGCTGTCCACTGCAGTACAGTCAACCTACAGGGCCCACACCCTTAGAGGGAACTGATTTTCCCTGCCAAGAGTCATCAACTGTCAACAGCTCTTCTGCTAGGGACAGCACCTCCCCTGACGTGCCTCCCCAAGCATGCTGACTTGATCTTATGTGGGTCCTGGGAAGGAAAACATGGCTGCTCTAAGTTCAGGAGGGCAGCAGTCCTGTTATATTCAGAAGACTATCTGCCCAGGCCCTTCTGACCCCTGGCTCACCCTCTTTCTCTATGGTCCCTGCGTCATGTACAGAAAGGATATGATATAACTGTCCTATTTATGGTTGAGAAGTCCATGGTACTTCTCTGCACTTTGATAGCCACGGCTGGCCTTGAACTCACTAAGTATCTAAGAATGACCCTGAACTTCTGATCCTCCTGCCCTCTCCCTTCAGAATGCTGGGGTTACGTATGTGCATTATCATACCCAGTTTTCTGAGCTGTTTAGGATGGAACCTATGGCTTTCCAGCAAGCTAAGCTAGCATTCTCCCAAACGATGTACATCCCCAGCCCTAAAAGCAAACTTTTAGAAGCTTGATAAAGATGAATAGAAGGAGACTGTAAATCAAGCAGTCTCTCCTGTGACACATAAATGAATGGGCATGGGAGTATACACGTAATGAACACCGAATTTATGAATGGACATGGGAGTATACACGTAATGAACACCGAATTTATGAATGGGCATGGGAGTATACACGTAACGAACACCGAATTTATGAATGGCATGAGGTTATAAATGTAGTGGCATGTCTTATTAAGCAACATAGTAAAGTATTCTATTCTTGTGATAACAGTAGAGGTGGTAAAATAACAGAGAAGAACTTTCCTGAGGAAAAAATGGTAACTCAGATTTACTGCAAAAGACAGAACTTTACAGTCTCAGGTAAAAGATGAAACATGCAAAGAAGCAAAGTTTTTAAAACCCTGTGGGAGGGTTGAGGGTAGCCCGGTGTGTGAGAACGGTTGCCTCAGGCCGATGCCTAGAAATCCTTGAAAGGAAAGATCTACCTCCTAAACGTTGTCCTTTCTCCTCTACATTCAAAACTGGCATGCTCATGCTCGTTCCCCACACAAATGCACAATAATAACAGTGAAGTCTGTAGGGAAAGCATAAAAGCAAGTCATATACTTAAAGAGGGAAAATGATTAAAAATTTTTCTGTTTAAAACTTTTACTAGAAAGAGAACTTTGTAACAAATATAAGTAATTTGATACTGTGTGCACATATGTGCATGTGGGTGGTATGTGTGCGTGTAAATGCGTGTGCAAATGTTGTGCATGTACTTGCTACGGCATGCTGTGGAAATCTGAGGACAACCTCAAAGTGTTGCTCTCGCTCACCTAACTTCAACTGAGACCTAGGTCTCTCTGTCTTCCCACAGCACAAGCCAGGACAGCTGCCTGCCGCTCCAAGGACTTCGCTGCTTCCCGCCTCTGCAGGAGTGCAGGGATTACGGACACTCTCTAGCACACGGATGCTGTGCATGTAACTCCTACAGAGGTTCGAGGATTCAAACCCAGGTCCTTGTGCTTGTGTGCCAAGCCCTTTGGCCCACTGAACTATCTCCCCAGCTGTCCTAGTCTTCATCCCACTACTGTGCTGAACACTAACCCCAGGGAATCTGGAGGGGAAGTTGGTTTCACCTAACTCTCCAGGTCACAACACACCGTCAATGGGAGCTGAAGCAGGAGTCACAGAGGGATGCTGTTTACTGGTTTGCCCAGGACCTCTAAGAAGAACACAGCGCAGACCTACATGCCTAGGGATGGCACCACCTATATCGGGGGAGATCCTCCTACATCTGACCGCAGGCCAATCTGATTTGGACAATCTACGTTTGAGGTTCCCTCACCCCAGGTGAGTCTAGGCTGGTGTCAAGGTGCTAGCGGAAGATCGCTGTGCCTCCAGACACAACTGTTTAGAGTGTATTGATATAACCTTGAACTTTCTGTCCTTTTGAGTCAGCCTCCCAAGTACTTAGACACGTGAACCACCCCACCTGGCTAGAGGGATTTTTAGAAAGACAAATGTTGTTACTGAATGGCTACTGATTCCAGTAATATCTGAGCTCTATGAACAAGAAACTACAAATCGTTTAAAGCCTATGAAAGTCGGATTTCACTTGCATCCACCTGTAGGACTAGCTTCCAGGCCCTTTCCAACAAAACAGAAAGCTAGCGAGGAGGGGCATCCTTCAGTGAGGGTCTGCTGTTTGCTGGCAGTACACTGTCCTCTGTAACGGGTACCGCAACGGCCATCACCATTTTAATGTGAAATAGCAGCACCCGCCCCAGCAGTCTGACATTATGTATCTTCTACATTAAACAATAACATGATCTACAACTGATCTTTCAGGTCAAACTTTCTTCTTTCTCCTTTTTCTTTTCAGGTCAAAATTTCTATGCCACTAACACTTCTGTCACAAGCAGCCAGCACGCCACTTACGACATGAGTAAACGTACAACGTAAGGAACACTGCTCAGCAGATACCAGCTCCTGACAGGCTGGGGCAAGAGGAAGCTGCTGTGCACTTCGGTCTGGCCTAAAGCCCCTGGCAATCCTGCTGCCGCAGCCTCTCAAGTGCTGGGGTTCACCGCTGTGAGTCACTGTGCTGCCTTAAAGTCAGGCTCTTCTATGGGCCGCCGGGGACAAGAACCGTGTCTAAGCACCGCTCTCAAGTGGGCGTGCACGCCTCCAGAGCAGACAGAAGAGCACTCTCTCAGGCCTATGCCCACGGTCCCAGGCGCTGCCTTGGCAGGTCCAACAACCCCACAGGGAGGATACTAGAAAACCAAACTGCATCTGTACTGAACAGAGCCCACGAGGAACTCAGCCAGATGTCAGCACTCACACAGAGCCAGGCTTCTGAGAAGTCTGGGCCAACTCTCTAGTTCTTCCTCTCACCGCCACACCAATCGTTTGATCTCACTCTTATGGGAGAAACTTCTGAATTTGAGCTGAATGAACCACCAGCTTATGGAAATGTAAGTCCAAAGAAATTAATTATCTAGCAACTTTCACCTAAAGTCAGCGCCGCTGCTTACCTTAGGTTCCTTTAGGTAACAGTGCATGGCCTGAGTAACATCCGCAGCATGGACTGCATTGTGGTAAGGATTTTGACTGTGGTAATCTTCTTGAATCATAACTGCATACACACACACAAAAAAAAGGACTAAATTTTTACCAGCCAAGAGGGACATCCAAGTACTGAAAAGCGGTCATCACGAAGAACCCACAGATACTTTCCATGTGGCTACCAACTCAAACTGTCTAAGACATTCTAAGAGAGTCACTTCAGATCAGCCAGTCACAGGCACTTCAATACCATGCCACAGTAGGGAGCAAGCAGAAAAGGACACAGCTGCAAGGCCAGTTGCTGTGTGGCCTGTCACACATGCTGTCTGTCACTGACCCAAACGTAGCTATGTGGTATTGAGCTCCAGGCTTGTATGAGAGTATGAACAAACTCAATAGTTTGTTCTGGCTACACAAGTTCTTGTACAATCTTATTTTTAAATGGGCTACAATCACTTACCTAAAAAACGACGGAGTTTCACCATATCTAAATGGAAGTACTCAATCAATCCATGAAGACTAAATAAATGAAAGGTTAAACTTACTAGACTATTTCCTAGAAAAGAAAGAGGAGAGGCCATGTTAGTAAGACGTGCAAGGTCAGAAGGCTACTACTCCAGACAGAGACTCCGACCATGACCACTCTGCAGCTCCTTATGCTGATGGCTATACACTTTAAGTGTTAACATCTTCATTCCATTCTAATAAAAAGGATGTTGCAGTTTCCCACAAAGAACTGAAAGCAAAAATCTTTCAAGGATTTTCAGGTTGATTTTTTTTAAGGCACCAAAATAATACTCAATAGTAGAGTATGGGAGAGCTGAGCCCCTGAACTCGCCAACCCAGCTTTACAAGCACTTCACAGAAACTGCAAACCATAGCACACGGCTTTGGCTGCAGCCTTCCCTGGACACTGTTTATGTTTACCGAAACAGAACTAGGAGGGGGCAGTCACCTTCTCAAAACTCCCAAAATAGAAGCTCTGAGCTAAACCTCTCGCCTTTTCCGTACTTGAGCAGAAAATCTGAGAGCTACTGGGGACAGTGGTATGATAAACCTCATCCCAATAAAGCCACGACCAGCACTGCCCTGCGAGCTTACTGTCTTGGTGAAATGCCTCTGTCACTTTGTAAAGCACCTATTTCTAAGACTGCCATTTTTCTTAAAACTTACTGTGCTTATTTCCCATCTATTCCCTCATTTCCAAAGTCTCTTACTTACGTCATATAAAAAACAGTCCCCAAGCCTTTAGCTTCCCTGCCCTTAAACATAATTCACCCACATCTCCTCCAAGACAGAGCCTGGTCCACTTCACCTCATCAATCCACGCTTCCGTTCTCTCTTTCCTGTGATGTCTAGACAAGCACAAACACTGGACATGCTGTCCGCCCCGTGGACCTCCATCCACACACCGCCACTGGACATGCTGTCCGCCCCATGGACCTCCATCCACACACCGCCACTGGACACGCTGTCCGCCCCGTGGACCTCCATCCACACACCGCCACTGGACACGCTGTCCGTCCCGTGGACCTCCATCCACACACCGCCACTGGACATGCTGTCTGCCCCGTGGCTCTCTGTCCACACACCGCCACTGGACATGCTGTCTGCCCCGTGGCTCTCTGTCCACACACACGCCACTGGACATGCTGTCTGCCCTGTGGCTCTCATCCACACACACGCCACCACTGTGCATCCACTTGTGAATCCCCATCTTTGCTATGCTTATTGTTCCCCTTCCCTGACAAAGCTCTCCAGGTCATATATTCTGTTAGATGTCTCAGGATTTGAGACTCCACCTACAGGACAAATATGCTATAGTAATAGTTAAACTGACCATTTTAAAGGGACTTAATCTCATAAATTACTGCATCATGGATAACAGTAATATATGATGCTAGCATCTTTCCAAGTCTATGATTCTTGCTAAAATATGTAAAAGGTGTAACAAATGTCACACTAAGAATTTACAGTATTTAGCAGGGTTAATAAAGCATTAACCAACAACTCATTAAGGTCACCAGTGCTGAATCATTTTGCTGGCCCATAGGGGTCTCTCTCTCTCCTCTCTCTCTCTCTCTCTCTCTCTCTCTCTCTCTCTCTCTCTCACACACACACACACACACCAGCACACACACGCATGCACACGTGCCTTTGTACATGTGTGGAAGTTAAAGGGCAAGTCATTCTCGTTCTCTACTCGGGTGTGCTGGCCTGACTGCACAGCCATCCTCACAGCCCCAAGATTCTTTTCAAGGATGACCTGGCACATCATCTCCGTATGGAAGAGAAAGATATCCTTAAGCAACTGAATGCCAATGAACCAGGCACAGGGGCACAGATCTTTAATCTGCACCTGGGAGGGGGAGGCAGGAAGAGCTCTGAGTCTGGGGCTAGTCTGGACTACACAGAAAGTTCCCGGACCAGGACTGCAGAGAAAGACCTTGCCTCAAGGTCTCAAAAGAAAGTGGGGGGGGGGGGGAGAACTGTTTAGAGTAACTGAACGCACAGGCCAGCTAAGGTGTAGTGACCCTTAGTTTTTAGAAACTGCCTCTCCATGAGAGTTTGAGCTGTGACACAGCCGACCACTCTCCCCTCACAAGCCAGAGGCTCTCAGGAGCAACAGGCAGTGCCTTGCTGTGGCTTGTCACCTGATCTACATCCCTGTAAGAGGAGAGCCAGGCAGTAACTGCTCCCCCGTCACCCCGGGAGCAGATAAGGAGATGGGGTACGCCTGTCCTCCGGCTCCTCCCTGTCCTCTCCCCTTACCACCGAGAGAGTACTAGAGTAGGAAATACAGAACACCATTGGATCAAGTAAGACGGGGACACTCGGATATGGTGAACACAAATCATACAGAATTTTAGTTCTGAAAGGAAGCCATTCCAACCACATAGTGCAAGCTGAAGAACTATTTTTTCCTGCCCATTTCAAGTAGATCATCTCTATGACTCCCAAGGGGCAGTTGATAGCTCCCTATAAAGCAAAGGTGGGCGACTAACAATAGGTGGTTTTTATCTGGGTCAAACGATTCGGCCGCCTTCTCCAAAAAGCCAGTTCAAGGCGGGTAGTCTAAGAAAGGGGGTCAGTGATGGGGACTGACAGCAACTGTGGCCTCTGACTAGCAGGTTGTATACCTTTTAAAATTAAATTTAGAAAAGAACAATCAACTATGTCAATGAATGACAGGCATCCCAGTAGCCCCCAAACAGGCTATGAGCTACAGCTTATAAGGCTGGTACTGCTCCATCTGCATCTACCTCATGGTAACTGAAGTCACGTTTGTGCTGGATTAGGAAGGAAGAATTGCCTAAATCTTGCAGGAGGTGGGGCACCTAATAGTTCACTGTCTGTATTTTTAAAAAGAGAAAAATTAAAACAAGGCCAGGAGGAAGGCCAACTGCTTTCCCAGTAGGGCTGCCAGCTAGGAGGCAGGGGGAGCAACAGGACACCCAACCCTCCATGGGCACCCGAGAGGCTGGGAGAAGGGGAGGAACAGAGGCAGGGGTGTCAGGGCCCTCTGCAGACAGAGGCAAACCTCAAGCTTTCACCACTGTGCACATCAGTCTCATCTGCTTCCTGGCACCAGCGCAGAGTCATGCAGGGGTGTGGAGAGGCCTTTTCTCTGCCCCCACTGCTTACAGGAAATAAAGGGACACTCAGCTAGCGGCGGCAGGACTCACAGAGCTGTGTTTCTTCATCCAGAGTGAATAAGGAAAGCAGGGCAGCGAGACAGCTCAGTGGGTAAAGGAGTGTGCAGATGCAAACTCGACTGAGACGGAAGCCAGCGGCTCAGGAGAGAGAACCCGCTTCAGCGAGGTGTCCTCTGGCTTCCACGTGTGCACTCCAACATGTGCAAACACAGCTCCATAAGTATGTACACATGTTTTCAGCAGAAAAGCAGGTATCTTCAGAGTACAGCAGGGGGCACATACATTAGTCCACCCTGGCCAACAGAAACACTGTAGCTTCTGTCTCACATGCGTCGTTTATTAAAAATCTACTTAGACAAAAGGGGCAGATACAGCTAGCATCACCAAGAATTCTGCCAAAGACTTCATTCTAAACAAAAAAGGTTTCCAAATAGAATCTAATTTTGGATCCCAAAGAAAATAAAAAGAAAAGGCAATGCCAACAGCACATAAAACGGGCTGGGGCACGGCAGACTAGAAGGACCTGTGAGAAATTTCTCTAAACCACTCTTAATTTGTTACTGAGAGCCCCACCTGAGCTACAGGTTCTTCTCCGGTATGGGGAAGGAGGGTCAGAGGGAGGCTGCGGACAACATGCTAAGCCTCTGCAGAAGATGGGGAAAGCCTGAGAAAGACCAACTGATCAAGCACGCCTCTGGGGGAGCCCCGCACGGGAATACTGCGTCCAAAGACGGCAGTGTAACCGTCACGTGTTAAAGAAACTTGAACGGGAAAATCAAGACTACAGTGAGACTCAGTTCGAGTTATTAAAAACGGCAGTGTAACCACCAATTAGCCAAGTCATGGTGACTTTTGATTACGCCCAAGAACTAAAAACCAAAGCAAAAATTAGTGAAATGATTTCTGCTGGCTTTGAAAAGTCACTAACAAGGACAAACGCTGGCACTGGGCTCACAGCCGAAGTGGATGAAAGCAGGGACGCAGGCAGCACGTCCAGGTTTCCCCAGAGGACTCCAGTGCTGGAGCAGGTCACACGCGTCACTTACCATTTGTTAGTCTATCAAACAGAAAGATATCGAAATTCCAGTTCCCAACCTTGTCCAGCATACACTGAAATGAAAAGCAAACATCTCTACTGTAATTTAACCTCAGTGACACCCACTTTCTCCAGCCCGTCCATAACAAAGTTAACGGAAATGAAACGTGGTCTATCTGCTTTGAGGAACACTAAGGACAATTGGCCTTTGTTCATTTTATTTTCTAGCATTTTTTTCTTCTTAATCCAAATTGTGTTACTGGGATGATTCCCACTCATCTTAAATCAGGTGTCCTTAGTCTTGCTTTTCCACCTGTAGGAGCGGCCAGCACACAAGAAAGACGGCGTGATTTTACAGCACCCTTGGCATTTCACGTTCATAAAGTAAGAACTGGGGTTCTGCACCAGGCGACTTTTCTTGTGTTTCCCCTTCTCCTCTTCCAGAGAGGGTGAAGGAGATCCATCCTCCGCGAGAGGCACGTCCTTGTAGGGCTCATTACCCCCAGAAAAGCTATTTTCTAGTTTTTGAGGCAGGGTTCCACTGTGCAGCCCCAGCTGCTCCACAACTCATGGCAATTCTCCTGCATCAGCCTCCTGCATGCTACGATTACAGGTGCGCCCCTTCACTCTCCTTTTCCTTAAGACTTTACAACTGGCTCAAAAAGTGTCTACAGAAATAAAGCTTCATTTGAAAACAAATTATTTTGTTTTTCAGTTAATTATGCATAGGGCAGGTCAGTCTTTCAACTCGTTCCTATGATTTATAAACTTAGGAGAATTCTGAAATAATTTGCCAGCATATAGCCCATATGCTGCATACTCTCAAACCAGATTTAAAACTCTGCTAAGGAGTGATAATGGCCACCGAGTCCTCACTAACAACTGAGTAGGCCTCGCCGCCGATCCCCACATACACCACGGAAACAGGCAGACGTAACTAACTTGCTCAGTTAGAGCGGAACGCTGTGATGGGGACTGAGGAGTTGGACCTCTGGGACTTGGGGGTGGGCACAGAACCCACACCACACCACAATTCAAAAAGGTCTCACTATATAGCCCTGGCTATCTTGGAACTCAGGATGTAGACCAGGCTGGCCTCAAACTCAGAGATCTGCCTCCCTCTGTCTTCAGAGTACACGCCCACACTTGACTTGCTAACCAGTTTTTTAAAAAGACCCCTGAATTATGGGGTATTTACTGATGATCTTTAAATATCATTCAAAATTAAAAATAGAATCAATCAATTAAGTTTTAGGATAATATGTACGTGAGGTAAACAAACCTACCTAAGTCCATATTTTGTGGACTTTTACAGTAAACTCTTTTATTTTGTATCCCAAAGCTCACTGTGGTGCACAAGGGTGAACAAACACCTCAGCGACACCAGGGTGACACAGCGGCCACAGCCGGCAACACCGCAACAGCGGACGGCATGAACAGTTTAAATTTCAGGGGATCAAATTTCTCACTGATCAGGGGATCAAGTTCTCACTGACTCCTCAAGTGGGGAAATGCTCATTTCTTTAAATTTTAATATGACTTCAAAGAACATACCCTAGGACCATGCTACATAAGTTTAGAAAATCTGACCTATAAAACTTAAGCAAAAAAAAAAATCAAATAAACTAAAATTCAAGATTATATAAAATCCCATTTGATAACAAACAAGCCTATTTCACTTCGATCCTACTATGAAATCTCCTGTGACATCGTAGGAGTGAAGGAAATATTTCTTCGGTGAGGACGTGGCTGAGAGAAGCATCTCTGACCCTTGCACCGCGCAGACCCAGCTTCCGTACCTAGACCAGGGAGGCAGCAGATCTGGCCATCTCTCCCACCCGCCAGTGACGAACTCCAGATTACAGTAACTGCTCTGCGGATCCCTCATTACTCAATGTTATAGTAAATGCAAATGCGTTCACTACGGTTCTCAGCATCTTCCTTGCTCTGTTACATCTACTCAGCATTTTTGGGAGGTGGCTCCAGTAACTCAGGAAGCAACTCAAATCTTTCTGAGGAAGGTGCACACACCTTGGCTTGTCCGTTATAGTCGTCATCTAGAATGTTTAGAGAACTAGAGACTGTGGCGCCCCGGAAAAAGCGCGAGGATCTGAGATAGCGCTGGAAGCTTAGGAGTCTTCTGATGTTCCTGGCGGAGACTGAGGCTTCAATTTCAGATTGAGCTGAAAGAGAGGGAGCAGCGATGAAAACCAGGCGAAACCCGCAGAGGCTGCCTTTGAAACACTCCGAGTTCCATGCAAGTCCGTAAAATGTGTTACATACAAGCACTTAAATTTGTCCCTTTACTTTTTCTGTATGGGCACTTTGTACATGTGCACCTGGTGTGTGTGGGCACTTTGTCTGCACGGATGCATGTGCA